ATGATGTTGAGCTAATCTGTTACAGTGATCTTATCAAATGAAGGCATATTATAATCAACTTTATGCCCATCCGTCTTTACATTCGCTTATGTGAGTCACGTATCCACTAGAGCTTGGTAGACTCAGGAACATCTTACTGCGACCTACTTAGGTCTTATTTTGTATGTAATTTAGTTTTTCATTTATGTAATTGACCTTGGGAGAGTTGGGGTACAATCACCAGTATTTTTTTGTCACGTCATGTGATAAAATTTTCCACTAAATTTTAATTGGTTATTTCGAACTTTGATAAAATCTCAACCAATAGTCTTATGACTTTGGAATGACCTCCCCTGGTTCTGCTCTGATTTATAAACACTGACCGCGCAGGTTCTGGGCAGCCTTTTACCATAGATCTCGAGAGAGAGTGCCATGTGTGTGACGCCATTTTGTGTTACATAGGTTCAGTAGCGTACGCAGGGGGGGGAGCAGGGGGAGCGGCCGCTCCCCCTCTGGCCATTTTCAGCAAAGTGGCGCCTTTTTGGAAACATTTTTAAACTCAAAGTTTTAAACAATGATATTTAAAAAATATTTTTGGTCGGCACATCTATGTAAATCACAAGATTTCTTTTCATGCAGCAATTAAGCATTATTGTACTAGTCTAGTAGTGTCTACGTTTACAACACGTATTAACAGCTGCATCAGTTTGCCATTCTAAAAATAACCTTTACGATGCATTGCAATGTTTAAAAAACCTCTACGGGTAGTACCACTTGGCAAGAGGGGTGTTAAGTTTAAGGCAACTATATAAAGTATTTGCTTACGAATAATTGAATTAGAAAATGTTACATATAAAACTTCACACATAATTACTGTATATATACAGTTTGAATCGTGTGATTGATTTTAAAAAAATTACAATACAGAAACAAATACAACTGATGTGGCACCTCTATTTAAATTTACTTATGAGCAAACTGCGTAGTGATGGGTAAATTTTGACAAGGTTAACAATGTAATCACGTAGTAGTATTCTTACAGTTTGGGCTATATTGATTACGATTACAAATTATATGAAACAGTTACAACCTCCCTCACCCATGGACCCCTCTGTAAAAAAAAAATATTGTCGTAATACCACTGCTACTTATTTAAATCTATTTCTGTAATATATATTTGTGTAATATATATTTGTGTAATATATATGTATGTTTAGAACAGTCATCTAAAAACTGACGCTATGTTCACTCTAAGTTGGTTATCCCCCCCCCCCCCCCCCCCCCAACACACACCTCACCACCACAATTGTGTAGAGCGACATTAATGTCACACCTAGGTATACACTGGGTTGGATAATTGACCTAAAGTGACCGGACAGTGGCGAATGAAGTTGACCCCCCCTTCCCCCAACCCACCCCGAAATGATCTGTTAAGCACATGTAGAAAAACGCGTAATGATGTACCAAAGTAACATGCCGTCAGAAAATTAGCTTTTTAAACGTAAAACTCTGTGAATAGTTTTTGCAATTACCAGTAAAAAGGTATGTGATCAATACAGTGATCTAACCCTTACCTATCACTATGTTAAAAAATGATCTTTAAAGAACACAAAGAAGCAGTAGTTAATTAAAAATATATGATCTGAACTAAAAGACCGATATTTAGTTAAATGTAGACTGTTATTCCGAAAGTTTTTCTATAATATCGAAAAGCGTGATTTTATACCGACTCTGATTTTAAAAACTTTCATTTTGCTGTAATACTTTAGCATTTATGATGACGATATATTAAATTCTGATTATAGACAAAAACATTTGGTAAACACGAATAGTGTTAAACAATTTCATTATATTCTAATAATCTAAAGTAATTATTTATTTGTTTTGACATTTATAATTAAATGTGTAGATATATACATATTTATATTAAGAGAGTGATTATTTCCCCTATTTCACTTGTCTTAAATAATTTTCCAGGAATTATTATGTAAGAATTTTTTTACAAGAATTACAAAACAGATTGTATTACGTTCATTGTTTTTGGTTGTAGTGTGTGTATATTTGTTTTTGTTTAGATTGATACAATTTTTGTTTTGTCGGCTTACATTGTGTGTTTTTTCTTATTTCTTCAGAGTACTACTTTCAATTTATTTTACATCATATCGAAGTAATGACATACAGCTGGTAATTTTATATATATATATATATATATATATATATATATATATATATATATATATATATATATATATATATATATATATATATATATATATATATATATATAACGTATATAGAACGTGTTAAAAATTCGGCGCCTTTTAATGCTCTTTTCGCTCCCCCTACAACGAAAACCTGGATACGCCTCTGCATAGGTTATAGCGGCAGTGTTTCCCCTATTATTGGTGATTCTAGTGTCATTCAGTGTTTTAAGTAATTTTCCTTAGGCTGTGTTCAATATCTAGTGCTATATAAGTGATATTTGTAAACTAGTGATTTACCATCAACTGTAAGTTGGAGTTTTGGTTTATTTTCTACTCTTAGATTGTATATTTTGTACAGACCTAGTGTCACTTTTTATTCCTGTACTCATATTAAAAGGTTGGTGACAGATTAAAGTTGTTGTGAGTCACATCAGTTCAGCGTGTTATTCCCCTAGATTTTGTTCACGAGCCCACGCTGAGTTTTGTTTTGTGTTCTGACACTCTTTAGTATTTGACATCTGTCATTAGCCATCTCAAAACGAACCCGGGGCGTTCGCTAGCTCTGCGACTGACAGAATAGCGTTCGTAATATTACGAATGCGAACTTGATACTTCCGGGTTAACAGCCATATGCTCAATCGTCCAATCACGTCTCCCCTCATCTGAAATACAAATTTAATCTTTGATAGAACGAGCTAGCAGTGTATAATTCACGAAATGATACTTGGAGCTACACTAAAATTGTCTGCTTTGATATCTTAGATCAGAACTACAGACTTTTGGTTTAACAGTCGTATGATTAATTATCTGATCACGCCTCCACTCTCATGAAATACAATTTCAAACTTTGATATAACGAGCTAGCATTGTAGTCTTCACTGGATTAATAGGACCGACAATAACTTTGCTTTGATACCCAGAGTACAATACCATTGTGTTCATTGGTTTCTTTACGACAGAACATGACTTGACTTACTACTTTGATGAAATTGAGCAGCAGAGAACTGCAGCTATACCTCTCCACAGGAGTCAGTTTTGGGTAGACTTCTTTGTGGGGGCCCACGTAAACCCACAGTCCTTTAGAGCCTGACTTGACTGTTTTGATGAAATTGAGAAGCAAAGAAATCTACACAAGAGTCAGTTTCGGGTAGCTCTTTTTTGTTGGAGCCCAGGTAAACCCAGAACTTTTGCTTCTCCTTGCACAGACTTTAGAGCATAAGCAACGGATAACATGGCAGCTCTTCGAGAAGTACACAAACAAGAAAGCATGGGCCACGAATGTTTAAAAGAAATATATTGTTAAACCACACAACATGAGCATAATCTATTTTTAAAAATGTGCCAATTGGAATTTTTGTTTTCTCAAATCGAGCATTTATAGATATCAACAAAAAATGATCACATATTTTGTAGTTTACTTAAACATATGTCTACAAATCATTCATTTTTTTTAGTGTTTGAGTATGATTAGTTTGTATTGGCGCATTTTTTTTTTCCGTTGCGCAGTTTTACGATTGCGCACTTTCCTGAGAAAGTCGTTAAAGGCATTGTAGTACAAAATGGTTTTGACAAGTTAAAGATATTTTTTTTCTAATTTGACGCTCACGTTATATGTTATTCTCTAGAAATAATTCATCGTGACATAGCCAGTATTAATTATGTGTGGATACGTGTCCTTTTAATTTGCTGTGTTGTTACATACATGTTATATGTTACTGTCTCTAAAAGTAGGTCCTCATCACGTAGCCAGTATGTATTAATTATATGTGGATCAGTGTAAATTTAGATAGCTGGGTTATTACATGTAAGTTTGATATTACTGTATGGACAATCTCTAAAAATAATTCATCATATTAATTCTATGTGGATCAGTTTACTTTTAATTAGATGTGTTATTATATGCATGTTTTATATTACTGTATGGACAGCCTTAACCTAGATGTGAGCTTCACTGGTGTTTTCCCTTCCCTTTAGCCTACCCTTACCCTTACTCTAACCCTCATTACTAAACTATATTAAAACGAGAGATCTTCTACATTAAAACACTTAAGCCATGGGTTCCCAAACTGTAGGTCGCCACTGGGCTTTCAGGGGGTCGCCAACTGGTAGAAATAAAACGTAAATATTAGATGATCATTTAAAATTCAGCTTTACTAACATCACTAGAAATGGAATAGAGAAGTTGTCTCAGTCATGAGTCTATTAAACCGTCAAAACTAAAGCATCATTTTGGTTCGAGTCATTCGGAACACATAAAAAAGATATGGAGCTCTCGTCGGCATGAAGTTAGTTAAAAACGTCAGAGACTTGATCGAACAGGAAGATTTCGTCAAGGAAACACATTATTAGTGCAAGCATCATAGAAATTGCCATGCATTAGAAATTGCCATGCAGAAACAACCTCACAAAATAGGAGAAAATATCATTCAACCCGGCATGTTGAGGATGGTGAAATTCATTAAGTTTGGGAATCTGTGCCTTAAGCCATTCCAATACGCACCTCTAATTAATACACAAAGCATTACAACCTGATAATAATGATGAGAATCGTCTCCAATTGTTGCACTGGGTGGCTGTAACATTCATCTTGACTGCTAGAACCACGCCCTTCATACGTCACCAGGCCCCTACCTCACCGCGGCTAACCATCAACATATACTCACATTCGCCCATAGACGCATATTTGTTTTTGGCGTGGTCTAGACTGCCACGACACCTTGCAAGCACGTGTTTGTTTTTCAACCAATAAAAATCGTCCATACTGCTCAACCAATACAAATCGTACACACTGCACAGCCAATACAAATAGAACATGTTATAAAATAAATTACAAACGCAATAGCAAGTTTAGCAAAAGTACCGGCATATGTTACGTAAGTGTGATATATAATTATATATATATATATATATATATATATATATATATATATATATATATATATATATATTTATTTATTTATTTATTTATGTATTATATCTATTAACATAAATTGGTATACAGTTGTAAATAAAAAAAAAATTAGTAAAATATTCAAAGGACTTGTTCTAACGAAGTGATATCTTTAGTTTGCTTTTGATTAAATAGTTAATGATGAAAAAAAAATAATGTATTGGGCTTTAAATGTTAAGCGTTAATGTCAACTTTGGACGTAGAGCTTTTAAGATTACGTTTAGTCAAGCAGCCGGTAAGATTTCTATTGGCTGCGATACAACTGCGTGCCAACATTTGAGATGACGTGGCATTCAAGTCAAGGCTGATATAAAAAGCTTAAGAAAAATGAGGGAGGAGAGTTTCTGTTCCCTATTAGTCACGCTACAGTGCATGGAGTAACTTGTTCAGATGCCTCGTGACTAATCTATCTATATATATATATATAATTCTCTTCTGGGAGACGCTAGAAAACAAGCTGTAAACGCGCTCCCCACCATCCCCACCCCTACATGGTCTTAGTGAGCTGTGGTTCACGCTATGTTTACCTTCGTGGAGTAGGGTTTAGTGACGGCTATTAGCGGCAGATAATTTAGTTTGAAACGATTTTAAACGTTGGGGGGGGGGGGGGAGGGGGAAGGAAGGGGGGAGGTTATGGTCCTTTACGAGCTACTTATAGTGTTTTAAAGAAATATTTTCAGTGTCAGCGTTGGTACTGTCGAATTCACAAATTATGAATTACTGAAAAGTAGAAAAAACAACAACTAAATAGCGGCGTATGTTATGCCGCGGGCCGGCTCGTATAAAGTAATATGCAAGGTCAGTGGCGTATAAGTCGGTATTTGAGGATATGGTCAGTTCCGCGTAAGGCATTATGTAAGTAGGTGGATAAATGCCCAATAACAAAGTTTCAAAGGAGAGTTATAGTAGTGTTTAGCGTTGTGTAAGGAGAGGTTAAGAGGCGTGTAATGTATTACCAGAAGAAGGTCAGAGCCTTTTAATGAGAGAATCAATGCCGTGTAAAGAGTTTTGTTTTTAGAATGTGCCGTTTTATACCTTATTAAAGGAGATGGTGACTACCATTTAGTATGTTATATAAAAATCCGGTCGTTGTCGGTTTATTAAGAAGTTATTTAAAGATTCGTCGGATCTGTGTAATGCATTACATACGAATATAGTTAGTACCGTGTAAGTTTATGTAAGGAGAGGTTCTGTGCAGTATAAGTCTTTGTGTAATGAGAATGACAGATATAAATTTCATGTTTTTACTTGACCTTCTAATTTTTCCTGATCCTTGTTCAGATCATAGTATTCAAGTCTTCTTGTACTATTTTTCCTTAAAAATACGATATGTATAGGTATACAATATTCAGCCGTCATTATTATTAACGATCATTAAATAACCATTTTTTAATACCAGCTTTATACAAAGGCATCCGAAACCTAAAACATACTTAACCTGGCCCGACCAGTGTTTATTACAAATAGGGGCGATAGTTAAAGGAAATAATGTGTGTATAAATTATGTGTTACTTCTATTTCTTTCAAGATTAGGGAGGGAGGATTGAATTAGCTAAGCTAAGCTAAGCTGAGCTAAGCTGAGCTAAGCTGAGCTAAGCTGAGCTAAGCTGAGCTAAGCTGAGCTAAGCTGAGCTAAGCTGAGCTAAGCTGAGCTAAGCTGAGCTAAGCTGAGCTGAGCTGAGCTAAGCTGAGCTGAGCTGAGCTAAGCTGAGCTGAGCTGAGCTGAGCTAAGCTGAGCTGAGCTGAGCTAAGCTGAGCTGAGCTGAGCTAAGCTGAGCTGAGCTGAGCTGAGCTAAGCTAAGCTAAGTTAAGCTGAGCTAAGCTGAGCTGAGCTGAGCTGAGCTGAGCTAAGCTGAGCTAAGCTGAGCTAAGCTAAGCTAAGCTAAGCTAAGCTAAGCTAAGCTCAGTTAAGCAGAGCTAAGCTAAGCTAAGCTAAGCTAAGCTAAGCTAAGCTAAGCTAAGCTAAGCTAAGCTAAGCTAAGCTAAGCTAAGCTAAGCTAAGCTAAGCTAAGCTAAGCTAAGCTAAGCTAAGCTAAGCTAAGCTAAGCTAAGCTAAGCTAAGCTAAGCTAAGCTAAGCTAAGCTAAGCTAAGCTAAGCTAAGCTAAGCTAAGCTAAGCTAAGCTAAGCTAAGCATTCGGATAATTGTCAATTCAGGAAAACGGCTTTCAGGCAAGCGTTTTCAAGCAATTTGCAATTTGATTGTTATTACTGTTTTGTCCGAAAATGAATGATATGATGTCGGGCATTAGCAACATACCCTATTTCCCATTTAAAAGATGACCAATGCAAAAAAAAAAAACAACCATATGACTTAAATACACAGACATAAAACGACAACAGAAAAATTTAAAATATATTTTACACGCTTGGAACAAAACTCAACATTTAAGTGTTTAAAGAAGCGTGCCATTGTATAATTAAGATTCTAAATAATTGTAACTTTGTTATGTGATTATAGGAAACGTTTATTGAAACTTGAAACAACAGAACCTACTAAAATGAACATACCGCTTCACCATGTGATGAAAGTGATCGCCATAATAATGATTTTGCTAGTTTGCTCCTCCAGGTAAATAGAAAAACTAATTTGGATCAGGCTCGTTCCCATTCAGGCACCATTTGGCTCCCAGGGCTATCCCGTGAGCACTATGGCGCCTACATCCGTTTGAAACAGTGCGATAGACTTGGGCGCCCATGGATATCTATTAAGTACTATGTCGGCTAAGTTAGTTTTAAGAATAAGCCTACAATATTGACCTAGCGGCACAAAAAAATTGATTAGTAAACCAAGCAAAGGGCCGTACGTCCTGCTATAATATATATAGGCCCTATATATATATATATATATATATATATATATATATATATATATATATATATATATATATATATATATATATATATATATATATATATATATATATACATATATATACATATACATATATATACATATATATATATATATATATATATATATATATATATATATATATATATATATATATATATATAAATGTTTACTTATATATTTTACATACATGGGTTTTACAAAGTTTTAATATAACTAGTGTTTCTCTATTTAGGTGTAGGTTTAAAAATAAATATAAAAAATAAACTTTTATGAGTGTTATTAATTTTTCATATAGAAACACTAACTTTGAATTGCATTTTCAATAGGTCCCATTTTGGAAATGTTCGTAGCCCTGGCATAAACTACATTAACCAACAACTGAGACCAGATGTGGCGGGAGAAAAATACTGGATTAAAAGTTATTGAATAAAAATTATGTAGCTATAAATGTGTTTGTGTGTTCATTTTTACATATGCATAACTGCATCTGGTTCGTGTGAGTCTGCTCTTGTTACGCTTGCTCATTGTAAATGTTGACGCATTTCTGTATTAGAAAATTACTAGTCTTGAGTCGAATTGGCCAAGAGGTAGAGAGTAAGACTGCCATTCGAAAGGTTAAAGTTCGAATCCGGGTTTAATTCAGTGTAGCGTCAGTGACCACCCATCTCTGACTGGCACCTATCTCACTGTAGAAAGAGTAAGGAAGCTAGACATCAAGCTGACCATATTATCCCTTTTATGCCAAGGATGAAACAAATGAGTTTTACATCCTGTGCCGAATAGATTGTAGTTTAATGGAGGAATCTTTACATTTTTTTATATTACTAGCGCAATTCACAACATCAAAATTAAGTACATTTATCCTACTGCTGCCGGTCGTTGTGTATTGGGTACATCCAGACGTTTGTATCGGTACCAACGGTCACGTTGTCAAGTCGAAATTTATGACGTCACACTCTCTTTACTCACGCGCATCGTAATTTTTTTGACTTCGTGAATTCAGCCTACTTACACAGATTATTGTTACTAAATAGTTGATCCGTTTTTGCTACAAAAAATACTAATAGCTTTATTATTCACATCTGAATATAATTTTGGAAGTTATCTGCTAATTACGGTTTGTCGCGTTTTCGCGACATCCGGCAATAAGACATAAAATGGAACTTGGGTGCCAAGCAGGTATAACGAAATACGATGCATCGCCAAGCTGTTAATCATTCATGTATGATTATAAATAAGTAAAGGATTTACAATATAGTCTTCGCTTATATATGAAAATGCACGTTAGAAAGTTACTGTCCATGTGGTAGGGGAAGGAGAGTTCACCTGTTTCATTGACATTGGCATATGGAGAGAGAGAGCAATGTTGGAATAATGTGATCATGTTGCTGGGTACAATATAACGAATTTAACTTTGAAATAGTATTGTAAAATATTAGGAAAAAAAAAGGCAACAGGAAGTGAGGTGGTGGACCACTATCCTGGATACCACCAAAGAAATGTCTTCACAGTGACCTTGACAATAATAACACTGAGCATAGACCTACACCTCGTAATTAATACAGTAAAGTTGAGTACTGACAAACATGTCCTTTGCAGTGCTATTGAATACCCACATTAGTGGCGTTATACTGGCATTTAGTACCGACAGCAGTGTTATTGAGTACCACATCTTCAGCACTGAGTACTAACATCAGTGACACAGAGCAACTACAGTTTGAGCACTAAGCACTAACAGTAGTTATACTGAGTACTCACTGCTAAGGCTGAGTACCCACATCAACGTTATCGATTACCAACAGCTCCAGCGCTGAGTACCCACAGTAGTGACACCAATAACAGACTACAGTAACAGAGAGTACCCACAGCTTCAACAGTGAGTACCCACAGCTTCAGCACTCAGTACACATGGCTTCAACACTCAGTACCCACTGTTTCAGCACTGAGTACCCATACCATTGGCAATATGTAGCTACAGCACTGTCATTGGTAATCAATAGCAGAATCCGTCGAGTACAATAGCCGTAGCACGAACCGGAAACATAGGGTACCATCAACAATAGAAGTGAGTACCCACACCGGTGGCGCTGAGTACCCACAGCAGCTGCATTGAGCATGGACGAATATACAATGGCTGAAAACTGTCACTTAGGACAGTATTTGTTCACGTGCTTTGTGTGTAAAGCAAATATAGGTCAAATGAGAAATGTGCGTCTTTATTAGTTTACCTTGAATAAGAGATCACGAAAATTACGTAAAAGGGGACAACTAAGGCTCTACACATTGAAGGAAGTCCTTTCATATGTAGTGTGTTACTGTAGTGTAGTAGAACCACGACAGCAAAGCTTCAAAATACCCATTCATAAGAGTTAGTCAGTGAGCAGGTGCAGCAGAGTTATGTAACTCTATGCCTGAGCTAATAATGTTTAGTTTTCATGAATTTTGCAAGTGATTCTACATCTCCTTGCATGTCCGTATGTTTATTTTGTGATATTCTATTGCTTGTGCTTGGGTATTTAGAGAAACACGTGACAGTAAAAATAGTAAAATGACCCGGACTAAACAAAACATTAAATTACTGTTTGGTCCATTAGTGCCTGATGTCGCGTTTTCGCGACATACTGTAATTAGGATAAAAAATATGTCCAAATTTAAAAACAACTATATACCTCAAATTCAGAGTCAGTATGATGAGAGAAAATCAGCACAGATAATTTTTTTACACGCTTCGAACATAATTCAGGCATTAAGGGGCTGATGTCACAAAAACTGGTCAACTCTACTTCACGAGCCCAATGTCCTGCAAACTCAGACAAGTTTTTACCAGCTTTTATTTAACTCACTTCTTCGTCAGTCTGTCGCCAGTCTGTCTGTCTAGATCGATTCGCCCTGTGAAATTGCAGGCATTTTTAACTGACAGATACGGTTCGTAGTTGGTAAGTGGGTCAAGACATGAAGACAATTCATCGTGACATTCAATTTGACTTAATTGGTCTCCTAATTAATATTTTATGAATTAACTAAAATTTGGACCGAATCAGTAGGCGGATCTATCCACACGCGTCATCACGGCCGTCATGGGCGTGGAGCGAGGGGAAGAGGGGGGGGGGACTAAACGACAAAAGCTTGTTATAAAAAAGTTTTTTTAATGAATTTTTTTTTGTCTTTTAAAACACCGATTTCAACTGAGATGGGGTCTGAACACAATATCACTTCATATGCTGACGTCACAGGTGAACTCTACACTTGCCCAACTCTAGTTGATTTGCGTCGAAGTGTGTTCTACCTCACTAGAGTGATTAACGTAGACTCAAGGCTTTCACACATCACGCGAGTTAGGCAAACCTGTGCACAGACAAATATCATTCAGAAAATAAAACGCAGATATTGTTGACATTAAAACAACTCAGTGTATTAAAACAAGGTTACACGTCTAAGAATATAGGATTGGTAACGCAATAATGCTGCCATCCGGTGTTAGAGCCTTGTCGTGGCTTGGCAGCTTGTGTATCCTGACCACCCCCAGAGCTATACAAGCGGGAGTGTAAACTCCTAGTAGGTTCAACCAAGCTGGGAAGATCTGCGCGGGTAGGGATCAGACCAAAGCTAACAACCTGGTCCTCCAGGTTGGGGGTAGAAACATAAGGCTATCAACCTTATTATGAAAAAAAAAATATACCGCTACAGAAACTGCAAGAACACAAATCCAACACCAACTTGGTCGAGGAGGTTCCTCTCTAGAAGAGCTTATGATTCCTACTAGTGAAAGCCTAACGGAAGCTAGTTTGCCGACAAATCTCCTAACGCCCAAGACTAAAACCAGACTAGGGACCTGGAACATCAGAACCCTATATGAAAGCAGCAGATTAGCCCAGGTCGCCAAAGAAATGAGGAGGTATAAATTAAAAGTCCTGGGATTAAGTGAGACACGATGGAATGGCAGTGGCCAAACTAGGTTGGTCTCGGGAGAGACTGTCATCTACTCAGGCCACGAGGACGAAGATCATGAACACACGCAAGGTGTAGCCATATGATGTCTCCAGAAGCAACGAATGCTTTGATTGCATGGGAACCAGTCTCGCCATGACTCATAGCAGCTCGTTTCAATGCCAAGGGAATGAAAACAACTTTAATCCAGTGCTATGCACCCACAAATGCTGCAACAGATGAAGAGAAAGAAAGAGGACTTTTACAGCGCCCTGCAAGCCCAAATTGACAAATCAACAAAAAGAGATATAAAGATAGTAATGGGAGACATGAATGCCAAAGTTGGAACAGAAAATAAAGATCGTGAGCTCACAATGGGTAAAAATGAAATAGGCGTAATAAATGAAAACGGGGAACTCTTTGCTCATTTCTGCGCATTTAATGATCTAATTACAGGGGGACAATTTGCTCTCATAAAAATATACATAAGACCACCTGGACGTCACCCGATGGCAAAACAAAGAACCAAATTGATCACATCACAGTTTCCAGAAAGTGGAGAAGTTTAATGGATGTTAGGGCGAAACGAGGTGCAGATGCAGCCTCAGACCACCAACTCGTGGTTGCAATGCTAAACTCAAAACTAAAATCCTACAGGGATCTAGCTGATAAACCGCACTTTAAATCCCAAATAGCATATCTTAGGAGTCCCAAAATAAAGGAAGACTTTAACTGCGCGGTAAAAAATAGGTATGAAGCACTCTCCAGCCTGGTAGAAGAAACAGTAGATCCAAAATGGCTAGGAATACAGGAACTATGGAAGTCAACATGCACTGATTGTGCAAAAAAATAAATCGAGATTGTTGCATATCTCGCCGTTTTACACCTCCCCGAGTCGGAAATCTTGTCCGTATGTATGTGTGTATGTGTGTATGTGTCTGCCAACGCGATAACTTCAGTACCGTTAGAGCTAGGTTAATGAAATTTCATATACAAGTCTTATATCAAATGTGTAGTTCTGTATAAACTTTTCAGCAATTTCTGATAAACGGAAGTGGAACTTATTGTACTTTCAATTTATCAAAAGCCTATAACTTTAGTACTGTTTCATACCGATAAATGAAATATTTCACATGTTAGAAAATACCAAATTCTCTGTCTTGTATCAAATTTTGAGTAATATCCGTTGAATGGAAATAGTACTTTGCGCTATTTCCGATTTATCAAAAAACGCCAGTGAATTCATAAAGTACTAATAATTTTCAGCATTATTATAGACAGATTTTTGGCGTTCACTTGGTGTGCGAAACTTTTTTTCTACGAGATTCTATTCTATTTTAAAAAGTTTAAGTAATTAAAAATGGATTAAAATCATGTCTATATCCCGAGTTGCCATTCCCCCTAGTGTTATATAAGAATATTCGAGAAAGTTTTGGGGAGATCAATCCCGGTTTAGTTTTATATGTAACACCAATTTTGAATTGCCGTTTCTTTCGGCCCCCACTTCGATTTGGTCG